TTTTGAATTGAATTTGCAAATAAGTTAGATTTTATAAGTTTTCATTTGACCTACCTCTATATTTCCAAGGTTTACAAATTCAATGATGGACTTAGATTTAGGATTTACAATTTAAGGTTACATTAGTGTATTTGATTACTTGATCCTTTTATATTTGGATTTTGACTTGATCTACTCTCTTATTTTTGTTGTATACAATTTCAATGGTATAAGTAATTTGTTCTACAAATTTTTAGTTTATAAGATATAACAACTTTGATTTAAACTTTAGGATTTTTACTTTTTTCACAAAAGAATTTTAGCCAAATTTCAAAATACTATTGGGTCCATTTGGAAGTTGTCTATTCTACATATGTTATTAAATTTTTCTAAAATTGTATAGAGTTATAGATATTAAAGATTTGACTATTTTGAATTATGAATTGATTTTACAAATAAATAGGCTTTTGTGAGTTTTGATTTGACCTACCTTTTTATTTTGGGGATCTAAAAATTTAATTTTGGACTTAAAATACTCTATTAGTTTTTGAATTTTCAGATATAAGGCCTTTGACTCAATAATTTTTATAATATCTACCACCATTAGACTTCTTCAATATCTTTCCGTCTAGTTCTATGTACCATCCTATTGTAAGAAATCAATGAGCATTATGAAGAAATTCAAAGATGAGGTGATAATTACTTCAATTATATAGCTTTCAACTATTATAGAGAAATTAGCATTTTTATATTAATGCTTGTTGGTATGCTTGGGCACTTTTCTATTCCTCTATTAGTTGACGATGGCACTCTATATGCTTACTACTCCACTTTATTACTTTTTTAGCAAAATTTTATATAATTTTCACACAAATAGAAGGTACATATGAATTTCTTCCATGAATCTCATTTATCAAAATTTCTATTGTAATATGACATATTTAAGATTTTAAGATTTAAAATTAAGGATTTAGGATTTAAAAATCTAAGGTTTTGGATTTTAAGATTTTAGGCTTTAGAATTTAGAATTATTTATATTTGATAAATATTTTTGCCTCTTTATTTTTTGATTTTATATTAATCTATCTCCCATTTTTGTCGTCCATAATTCTAATAGTATAAATGACTTGCTCTATAAGTTCTTAGTTTGCAAGATATATCAACTTTGACTTGGATTTTGAAATATTGATTCTTATTATATGTATATATATATATATATATATATATATATATTATTTTATAAATATCTATAGGTATATTTATAGGTTGTCTATTCTAAATATATCATTGAATTGTTCAAATAGTATTTAGATTTGTAGATATTGAAGGTTTGACCATTTTAAATTTTTAGCTAACTTTACAAATGGATTGGATTTTTTAAGTTTTATTTAATCTACCTCCATAATTTCAAGGTTTGCAAATCTAATTGTAGATTTAAAATGGTCTACAAAAAAAATATATTTAGATAAAAAGTCTTTGACTTGGTCTCTTTTTTTTCTGACTACTTTTGTACTTTATCTTTTTGAATTTAAAATTGATTTATATCCCTATTTGTGATGTTTTTTATTTATTCTGTTGATGTGTTTAAAATCTTTAGCAACTCTATAGTTTAGAAAATATGAGGTTTTAAAAATTACTTAATAATTATTTATGCAATATGTAAAATATATTCACTAAATTATAATGAAGTATTTCTAAACCTTATTACTTTTGAAACTATATTATATTAGTAGAAAAATATCATAATAAAAAATAATCCAAATAAATATTTAATAAAATTATAATATTAAAAACATTATATTTGAAGATTTTTAAATGAATAAAAGATATGAATTTTCGTAAATCTTCTTTAACATTATCAAGTATTTGTACAAGATAATTGGTAAATGACTTGGCAAATTAATAAGTAAATGAGAAATAGAATCTTAATAACTTCTTTGAGAATTAAAGATTGTTAAATATTCCCAGATTTTTTTGAAGAAAAAAAAATAACAATAATAAAACAAACAAACAAACAAAAAATTCAAGCAAAGCAAAACAAATTACATCTAATGAAAACAATAGTAGGTGACAATGATGTAAAACTAATAGAAGAAGATACAAAATTAAGTTGTATCCTATTATTTTTTTAATAAGATCCTAATATTAACTATGATTTTTTAAATAAATAATATAAAATATTTAAGTTAAATTAAATTTGAAAAAATTTATAAGGATTCTTTTCATTTATCACATAAGACATTTTGTAAAGAGATTTATATATCAATTTTTTTGTAATAATAAAATTTTTATATATATCTATATATATATATACATATATATAAAAAAGAAAAAAAAAAGAGAGAAAAAAATAATAGAGATCCTTATTATGATCTTCTTCTTTTTAAAAAAAATACCAAAATATCTATTATATTTTGTAGATCCTTTATTATGCTCCATGTTTTGCTTAAATTTTTATTTTCATGTAATATTTATAAATAAGATAATATTTTAAATTTATTAATTAGATAAAATCAAAAAATAAAAGAAGCTATTAATTTAAAAGACAAACCTCATTTTTATACCAAAATACACCATTCATTTTATTAATTTATAAAAATAAATTATTAATTAATAAAATTTTAATTTTGTATGAAATTTATGAAACAACTCCAAAACTCGCTCTTAAGATGAACACTATCTAGTATAATGTCATCTAAGGTGGATTAAAAATGCAGATAGAATAAAATCTTAATTTATTAAAATACTTGTTTATTTTTTTACAAATTAAATATCAATAATATTTGATTTATAATAGAGAGATGTGTTCAAACATATATTGCCTTAAGCTAGATTTTAGTTGGTAGTATATCTATCAAAATTTATTATATATTAATCATCAACTTTAGTTTTAAAAAAATTATGAATCATCTTATAAACTTCTTTTACCAATAGGCTCTCTCTTATAGACTACTAACATTATCTTGACATTCAAAAATTAAACAAGCAACCTATAAAAATTTAGACCAATTTAAACTTTATTATTTAATTAATCATAATTTTAAATATTAATATTTTGTAATGTTTGATTTAGAAAATAATTCTTGATGGTACAAATTACAAATCTTTTTACTAAATTAATGCATATCATAAAATTATTATAATTATATTCTATAACGTCTATTTTTCCTAAGAATATAATTGCATCTTTAGACAAGCTTGTAGACTTATATTGTAGATGAAGATTATATAGCGGAATTTTATTTTTTAAGATTGGTTCTAAAACACATGAGTCTACTATTAGACTAACAATTTTTTGCTATGTATATAATGGCTAGGAAAGAATATAAGGATAGAATAAAACTTTCAATAAATTTAAATAGTTTTTATTATATTCATTCTTTTTTTAAGTGAAGAACAATTCAAATAAATAAACAAAAGTTAAAATTATTTAAAATATCAAGGACATAAATTATAAAAAAAAAAAAAAAAAAAAAAAAAAAAAAAAAAACTATAAGAATATGTTATACTCTTATATTATTAAAAGAGAGAGAGTAAACAAACAAGATATAAAGATGTGATAAAAAGAAACCATAATAGCTAATATTAATTACAAAGAACCTAAAAAATCTAGAACAAAATTGGAATACAAGAAAAGTGTTAAGTATGAAGGTGATGTCAATCTTACTGCAATATTCAAGCTACCAAAAGGGTCTTGTAAAAGCTTCTTAAGGACTACAAGGCTTGTGGCCCAAGCATCAAGTTATATATTGCTTCAAGAGTAAAACATTTGTCAAAGTTTAGGAAGTTATATTGGTATTCTAATATGATTCTAAACAAATTTTCTTAAAGTTTGCTAAGTAAGATATTATCTACATAATATGTTTCTACACACTTCTACTTACTTCTATTCATTCATACCTTCTTAAGTAGTATAGGCATCCATTACACATTCAAGAACAAAGTCATTCTTTGGCTCAATTAAAACATATATTTCATTGCTACATCAACATTGCATCAACATCCACTTTGTAAACCACCACACAAATAGAATCACATCATCTTTGTCAAAATCAATGGTAAAAATAACTTATACTCAAAGTAATGAGAAGTTTTGTTCTATAGAAAGTTTAAGGTTAATCTCACTATAGAAATTGGCAATTAGTATTATTATAATTTTTCAATTTTTAAAACCAAAAATTAGTATGAATATCTTACAACCTTTGTGGTACTTAAGATAAAATTGAATTAAAAATGCAATTATAGAAATGAATAGTCTATTCTTTGTTGCTAGCTATCCACCCATCATCCTAAGACAAAATCCTCTAGGAATTTACCATAGAATTTCATTCAATGTAGGGTTTTGTCCAACCTAGTGCGTAAGGATTGCCTTACTGCAACTAGTGGGTATAAGGTTGGGCACAATAAATTTCTTCACAAGTATTGAATCAATTGTCATGTTGAACAACAATAAAAGAGGTTGGTGAATGTAGTAGAGTGGATATACTCAGTTCAATGGGTGAATGGTTTGATTTTTAACAACATTCTACTCTCAGATACTTCAAGGGATTTAGAAGGGTGGGATTTAATTTTGTGGAGTATTGGGAAAATTTCTTGAACGATAATTCGAATACTGTAGGTGAATTGGCATATCTGGTATTTCATCTTTGATTCACTTGGAGTTTGAAGCTGCTTTACAATTCTAAGTTTTATCTACTGTAGTTTCGGAAAGGGCAGCAAGCCTGGTAAAAAGCTGCTTCGACAGCTCACTCTCCCTTCAAAAAGTAGAAAACATTTGGAAAGTAGTCACAAGAAAGCTCTGGACAAACACATGATTCATGAACACGGGTATGTTCAAAAGCCAGTTTCTACGCTTGTTTCACGGCTGAGTTTTCTACTTCCACAGCGAAGTTACAACACGTCACAGCAGAAGCAAGTTTCTGCGCTTACTTCGCGTCTACAAAATGTAGATAAATCGTTCCAGAGTGTTGACAGGCTGGTCACAAATGAAATTGACAATTGTACTCATCTCTTCCAAAAGGTACAGGCAGAAGGGCAATATTCAATTACGAAACGGAATGAACGCAGGATAGATTACAAAATAAGAGAGTCGAATGTGAAAACTAACAATGCAAGTGTGATTCATATCATATCTGTACAGACTAAAGGCCGTCAAGCTAAACTGAATTTAAAATACCAAAACCCCTGAAATCTAAAAGCTGGATCCTCACGGAAAATCCAGACTTTGTTAAATGTGCTAATGAGGCATATGTTGGGATATTTGCCTAACTGCCGCATCCTGAAGAGATCCGAATTGATTTAACAACCTATCATCGACTACTTTTTTTAGTGTACAACTAGGAAATGAAACACTCAACGTTTACCATTCACAAGCCAACTAGACTGTCAGTTATACCGGGCAACGTCTACACTGGAAGGTCTAGAAACCTCAGAAAACCAATGTACTACCCTTGCATAATAAAAGTACCTACTCTGCAGCACTTTGTGTTCTCTTGTCTATCCGCAATTCCGTTAAAATCTTCTCGCCGAAAATAATCGTGGCATGTCAATTACAAGCTGGAACTTATTTCACTCCAATATACATTCTTGCTCATCAGATACGCACAAATGGGGGAGAATTATGCGAGCGCCGAGACTTGAGAAGACAGGTCCGAACTGAAGGACCCAAATCCTTCTATCCTAACAACTGGCTTTGCATCATAAGAGGCAGTTCCATGTGTGGAGGTACCATAGGGGGAGGGTCCGCATGAACTCAGTTGCTGAGATAAATTTGAATTTCTCTGCTGTAAAAACTTGGAATCATGAATCAGGGGATTGCCGGCTCGAGCGGGAGGAGAGCCACAAAAATTTGGAGGAGAGCAACCGAAGTTGGGAACGTCTCTATACCCACCTTTGTTAAGGAAGATGTCAAGTAACTCAAAACAAGCCACGCTTTCTACACGAGCTGAAGACTTACTGCACAGACAAAGAGGCAAGTGAGCTTCACGCTCCTGAAGTTCACACACAAAACTAAAATGTAAGAGCAAGACATCACATAGGAAAACATGGAAAGATCTGCGAACTCATTGAGAAGGTCTAGTACCTTTTGTGACGTCGAGTGGGCTTCATGAACTCGCCACCTGGAATATTTACACTGGTAGGCCGCCTCGGTTGGGGACAGATAAGCTCTTCTTCACCGCCTTCGACTCGCAAACCCGACCGCGTTCTTCTCTTTTCACCTATATCTGGTCGAACATCCACAGGACTCCACGCCCAGGATATGTGCTGGGTGCTTCTGATATTCCTTGTGATATCCATGTTGTCCGGAGAACAAGACTGTTTCAACGCTATGTATGGATGTTTAAAGGACTGTAATGGCTTATTTATTCTTGCGTATGGCTGTTCGGCATGAGTATTTCTACTCACCAGATAGGGTCTACAAATTTGTGAACTACTTGAAATTTACATGCCTTCGTATATTTACATAGATGATCCGAGGAGCCTGCGAGAGAAGGTAACTGAACTTATTTAATGACGCAATAAAGTATCTTGGACACCACAGGGAGTTCTTTCGAACATCTGCCGCCACGCTGAAGGAGATTTTTCGAATAATATCATAAAAAATTATTTGATACTTTATAATGTTGAGAAAATTAAGTTTTAAAATAACATTAATTAAAAATTAAATTAGGAGCAGGAAGACAGAACGGAAAAAAAGCACTACACATACGCAGATCTAGACACAAATGCCTTACCCCTCTTCCCTACCAAGTGGAAATCAACTGCCACAGCAGTGTGATCCCTATAGCGAATGCATTTAAGAAGGATTTAATCTAACGTCGATCGGGGTCTAATTAAGATCTGTGCACAAAATACTCCTTTGCCGCATTCTTGTAAGGCGCATCAGATCTCGTCGAAAATGAGGTAACCTCGTCAGGAAGAGCTCCATACACAGGTCTGCCTCTACGAACAACAATAACAGCCACTAGTTGACGGATCACGCACTCAGTCACAGATGCTAACATGGAAATGCTCTAATTGTACATTACCTCAGAATACCTCCATACTACAAACCTAACAAAAACCGTACGTCCAACAAAATGCTGACGCTACAGCCAGGACAACAACATCGCATTCCTCGACTCCTCACCTCTTGATGACAAACCTCACATATCTCCGCTCGCCCTTCAACGCAGTCCAACAACCCATGGAACTCAACCAACAATCCCGTTCCTCACTCTCTATCGTACCACTCAGCTTCCCGCAGCTTACTCTTCCTCGGATCACAAAATTTTAGTCTACGGCACAAATCCACTCACCTTAAAAATTCTTTCCTACTCCGGATAACTTGCAAGAGGAAGACGAGATCACATTCACGCGGGACTCCTACGCGACTCTGCTCCGTTGTTATGAACTTAGCGTACGATTACGGCAATTCACGAATGCCCGAGTAGCTATGCTACATTGAGTAGCTGGCGAGGAATAGAGGAACTGCAAAGTCCACCACCATCGCTAAAATCCTCCGCAGCAAGCATCAAAATTGGCAATCTTCCTTTCCGGAGAGATCTTGTTGCGTGCCATTCGCCGAACCATAGCCCCACACCACCACGATCCGGTTCCCCCTTGGTGCCCATGGTCTCGTACATCGAGGCCGTCGAAAAATATCCAATTCTATCCGACGGCCCGGCGCCATGTTACGGTAGATCTGGGTGGTGTTAGGTTCGGAATGCGTGCCGGTAGGTACGGAAACGGTGCAGAAGTCGAATGAAGCAACTCAGAATTCGAGAATCTACCATGGATTGAAGAGATTTGCGGTTGTGCTTCTATCTCGGCATGTGTTCGCCATTCACTCTCTCAGATTTAGGGCAAACGCTGAAGCGCAACTGGTAATATTTGTGTTATGAATTAAGCGCTCCTTCTTTCCATCGTCATGAGCAGTGAAAAAGCAAACTTCAGGTGAATTTATAATCATTAATTTTAAAATATTCATGAGAAGTTATCCGTTCTTTTTTTTATAAACTCGTTATTGAAATCCAATATGAAGATTACCGCCATGGTAAGTGTAAACGAATGCGATAACTATGTTCTATTTTTTTTTTCTCGTCGCTTTAATGTATTTCAATGTTCATCAAGTGTAGAACCTGAATGGCTTCATATCAAAAACTGATACATGTATAATTCACGAACAAATATCTTTGACACGAAGTTCAATTGTATTCCTTCAAAACACACATGAAACCTGGCTGACAATTCCGAAGTGGACAACGAGTATCACACCTCCCTCTCTCCCACCCTTCCCATTAATTGAATAATTGGGTACTTTAACTATTTATATAATTCAGAGTGAATGCGGAAAGCAAAAGCCAAGAAGGTCGGGTTCCTTTACTGCGAAGCCCTCATGATTCTCAACCACAGGTTCTCCTCACTGATCTCCAGCTCCCGTTCCCTTTGTTTCCAATACCAAATCACGCGCACGCAGAAACGGCTCACGTTCCTTAAGTTCCCTCTGGCTGCCCCCGAAACTAGCATGACTCTCGATGTATGGGTTCGGTTTCGATCATTCTATCGAGCAGCAGAATCGAGGGGGCATGAGTACCATGCCATACCCTGATCCTCATTCATCCATATCAGTGGACGGCATTCATCCTTCCACTGCGGTCATTCCTCGGTCCGAAGAGAAATTTCGGTGCCCAGGGCAGCGAAAAGTTCGTGGTGCGGTCAGGGAAAATATCTGGAGGGCGGGGGGGCAGGCAGTAGGAAAATCCCGCTCCAGTTGTGTTAGGAAGAAAGCATTAGAGATTTCTTGTATTGAAAGGTCACAATAAATTATAGAATTAAGATTAGTTTAAAATAAAATTTAATGATTTTATAATGATTTTATTTTTTGTGTGATAACAATTATATGTGTTTCTATGATATTTGATTACATTGTCTAAATTCTAATTCATTATTAAATCGTACCTTCTTATACATGAATAACATGGTTCAAAATAATATATATCAAAAAACCAATGTTTTCAAGTTCCAGCATACATAGTATAATGTTTAGAGGCTTGTCAAAATAAAATAAATTAAATTAAAAACCAACTAACGAATTCAATCAAAACCACAAATGAATACAATCAAAACACTTAGATTTTTATTTTATTTTTTGAAAAAATTGAATATTGTTAAATCCGTGCTTTTTTTTTTAACAGCAGCGTTGGTTTCTTAGAGGTTGTGCAGTGAGATGATGAAATCAATTAAAAGGTTGATGGAGAAATCAATTACAAGGTTGATGGAGAAATCAATTATTAATGATAGAGTTTTCGTAAAGTTATAATAAATTTCAATAATAATAAAAATGTATCTCAGTTTTTTTAACAGTAATACATTCATATGTAATTTTTAGCTTAAAAAAATTACTCCTTTGTATTTTGATTTTAATTAACAGTAAAAATTTCTCAACAGTGGAATTTGCATGAAATTTTAAAAAATAATTGTTTTAGTTGATCATTCTAATTTTTTAATGTAACTAGAAGATTTAAGATTTTATAAATCTTTCAATTCTTTTACTTTATTAAAATTTAAATGAATTACTTTTGTTGAAAGATGAGATTAAAAAAATCAATATAAAGTTCCAAATCACCTTTCTACTAATAATTGAATACAACAGAATCAATCAAACCTGTAACATGAAAATGCTCAAATAATAAGTAAATTTTAAACTTTACACATGCATTATTTGCACCACTAATGTTTAGAATATAGCAATGACTGCTGATATTGAATTCAAAAGAAAACAGATAATTTTATAAAAATTGTAAAAAGAGAATGAAAAAATGAAAAGAAAAAGAAATAAACATTACAAAATGTGTTACCGCATCTGCATAGTTTTTACTATCTTTGCAGTACTATTTGTTTTGATTCTTCACAACAAACAAAGAGTGCTCAAATTGCAGGTGGTATTGCCAATATTACCCAGTAAAGCTTGTAAGTTTATTTTATTTTTATTATTTTTAACGTTACATAAAAAATGTATAATATATTTTTATTTTTAGTATTCAATTGCCTGGGTGGTCATGCATGGAATTTCTTCAAATTCAATACAGCACTCTAATATCTTTTTTCACACAATACCGTTCAATTAATATTCAAACGAAAAAGAAAATCCTTCATTTATCAAAATGTGACCATTCACTGATACACCTTAATAACTTTCACATTCACGAACTTTTTTAGGTTGAAAAGCACTTTCATGCTCGTCATGAATCATGCTGAATTTAACTGCAATCCCAACAGCGTTACACTCAATTTGAGTGTACAGAAGCTCTGAACTAGCATAGCAACCACTGACCACGGAAATAGGTCAAAGTGACCACACCGTGGTCGAGAGTAAAGTGGCGTTACCGTGGTTGATTGGAGGTGTTTGGCCGTGGAATCCTCTATTATAGAACTCGGGAACTCTGAGAACCATCGGGGAACGTGGGAAAATGGGAACGCGGGCTTATTGCCAAATGCATGGGAATATTCCAGGTATATCCTCCCCCGTGATGGCGTATTCCCAATTGTGCACCTGGAAGTTCTAATCGGGTTCTCGTGTTTCCTTGGACGTTCCCATTAAACAATAATCGTTCGAGACTTTTATTTAAAATAAAAATTGTTATGAAAGTTCTCTACATATTAGTAGATTGTGAATTGGCATTCAATTATAGTGTAAACACAAACTTACTAGCCAAAATTGAATGAAAAATATTGCAAAAAGAAAACTCCACTTGGTGTGAGTTTTAAAAATATATTTTTACATTCTTATACATCAAGATTTAAACTGAATGCTATTTTTAGAATGTATAAATTAAAAATTAAATCAAAGTGATTAGTTTGAGTTGATTACAGATAATATGGGTGTCTTGCACATAAAATTTAATAAGAATTTTAATGTGTAAGTGTAGTTAAAGTGGGTTTTTCTACACAACAAAATTAGAGATGATAATAAATAAATTAGTAAATTTAAACAAACCAAAATTGGAATTAATTTATTTTTATTATTACATAAATAATAGATCACATATAAAGATAAAAATGCATTAAAAACTTAAAGTCTTGTGATTTGTAAAATGCACACACACACACACACACACATATATATATATATATATATAGTTATAGTTATAGTTATATATTCACTGTTTTTTATAGAATTAATTTAAAAAATCTACTAACATATTTTGAGATTTTTTTATTTTGATTATAAAATAATTAACATTTAAAGATATAAATTTTAATATATGTTATAAGATTGGTTTTTATTTGGTTAAAATAAAATAATTTGTAACTTTATTAGTATTCTAAGTACGCAAATATATAGATATTATCTTAATATTACTCCTTAATAAATTTTCATAAATAAAAAAATAGAATTGCAAAAGTAATTTTGAAATAATAATCAAGTAATAATTATACGTAATTATAATAATAATACTGAAATAAAATAATTAAAATAAGATAAAACTAAGTTTTATATTTAAGTATATTCATAAATAAGAAATTTTCTAAAACTTTTTTACAATTCCTAAAATTGTTAATTATATAAATCTAGACCAAGTCATGAAAAGAATAATTCACATGTAATTAAAAAAAGAAAGATCAAAAATAGATATACTAAAATATATCCTTAAATAACTATTTATAGATATTATAAATTTGTTGAATACTAACTAAGAATATAATAACAAAAAGGTATTGAAAAGATTAAAGATGACATCAATAGTCTTTTTATAAAAAATTTATAAAAAAGGTAATATTAAAGATTTTGATTAAGCACCTATCACGAACATATAAATACAGACTCGAGATCTAACAAGAAGTTCAAGAAGAACTGGCAAGAACTATATTAATCAAATGAGAACAACACAAGAGAGGTGAGCTAGAGCTCCAAGATATGTGTTGTCGAGACTGAAGAACTCTTCAGCTTCGATTCCAATATATACTTCTTTTTAGGAAGCCTCTCAAGCAACTTCTACCAACTAGGAAGCTTCTAGAAGGTTCCAGAGACTTGCTTCTAGAAGATTCTAGAAACTTATCTCCACAAGGTTCTAAGGACTATGTCCCTAATATCTTCTACCAACTAAGAAGCTTCAAGAAGGTTCCAGAGACTTGCTTCTAGAAGGTTCTAGAAACTTGTCTCTAGAAGGTTCTAAGGATTATGTCTCTAACATCACCTCCTCTTTTAGCTTCAAGGTCTCTGAGAAACAATGTTGTTGATCAGTACCAACGTAAAAAAATGAAGATCTATCGCATAACGTCTGCTATGAACTCCAACTTTTGTTCGCGAGGCAAGTGGTTCATCGACCCTTGAAGCCAACGGTAGTGGCCCACTCCTTTAACTTTTGACCAAGCATGAACTTCCGTGTCCTCATTATGAAATTGTCTTGCAAACACGCCTTCTGGCTGACCATCATAAGCAGGCTCGGACTCAAATATAATCACCAGTGATTGGTTACTCAGTATCCTCCATCGTCGTCGTGGTATAGGCGGTTCTTCATCTCGGGGTCGCCTTTGTGAGCTAGTCGGTTGAGATAATCTGACTGGCATAGTATCTATCTCTTGGCTA